ATAAGGTTAAGAGCTTAAAGTTTTTAAAAAGTTGTTTAATGTGTTTCATTTGCCAAAAGATTTTTTCATATTTTAAGTTGACTTATTTCTCTGTTTAAACATATTCAGACAGCTTCAATGGAAACGGATGCTGAGCTAGTAAAAACAAATAACAGCAATGCAAGTAGCCCTACATCAACTTCTGGGGACAGAAGAATTCATCAAACCCCATCTTTGTTATTTGGTAAAGACCATCCATCCTTAGGATCCCCATATGGTTAGTTTGTTGTTTCTTTTTGTTGTAACACTTCATTAAACATCAAAGCTATTTGTTGAACCATTTATAAAAACAGAAACACATTTTTTTTTTACTGTTCAATTTACTAGAAATGTAGAAGCAATATAGACCAGGAATACATACAGCTCAGTTTGTTTTATTATGATTCGGGTCATAGTTTTAGGTTAACGAATTGTGCGAATAAAACTAAACTAGTTGGAAAAAAAGAATATTAACACAGTTATGAATTACAGATATGTTTTACACTAAGAGGTTGGTATAGTCATCATTTACTTACATAATTCAAGTGCTTTTATTCACAGCTTTTGTTAATTTCCAGTAAGAAACCAGCTTTCGGCTCCTACTCACAATAGTCCAGTTCAAACTCGTCATGTGATCGAATTTGCAGCTGGACCATACAGCCAAAGTCCCAGTCCTGTGTTTCCACGACCATCTAGTAGCTCTAGCTCCATATCCTCTCACTCTCCAGGACAGAGTCCATTGTTAAACAGACATGTTGGTGGCTTTACTTGTGCTTCTTATCCCAGCTCTCAAAGTCCAATTCTTAGTCGACAACCGGTAGGGGTCTCCAGTGATAACTTTGGTTCTTCTCAGAGAAACAGAAAACAGCAGGTAAGGAAGGTGAGAGTTATTTGTGAAAACACTGACAATTACTGTATAAGTATTAACACCAGTTTTTAAAACTTTCCATGTTACTTACATGTATTTTTAAGGAATTTAGTCTAAACCAGCATTTCTCAAACTGTGGGCCACAAAGGTTCTTCAGGGTATCCGAGAGCCATGTCTGAAATTTCATAAAAATGTGAATAATATTTTTCATAAAATTAAATTTGTATCACTTAAAATGTTTAATGTTGGAATGCAGCTTCTCATGTACATGGAATCTTTTTTTTCTTTCAAAACAATAAAACATCATTAGATTTGGTGGGGTACACAAAAAAAATTAAAATTAAAAATGGTCCTTGGATTATTAAAGTTTGAGAATCACTGATCTAAACAAAACCCAGTTTGTCATGAATTCTAATATAGTATTAGTATATAGCATCTGTTTTTAATCCAGACATTTCTAGAAATTGTTGTTGTTGTTTAGCAAGATGTACTATTTGTACTTTCACAAAATGTGGCAAGCTTTCAATAAACATTAAGCAGATGCATTATTAAAGTATTTGTGCTAAAGATATGTCTGCTAATTGACAAAGTGAGTGTGACTCGGATTCTGACAACCTACAACACTAGAAAACATTACGACTGTATTCATTCCTGAGCATACAACTGTAATGTTAAATACCTACGTAACCAGAAAACATTATGACTGTATGCATTCCGGGACATACACATACAATTTTGAATACCTACATAACCAGAAAATATTACGACTGTATTCATTCCTGAGCATACACACGTAATTTTGAATACCTACATAACCAGAAATCGTTATGATTGCATTCATTCCTGAACATGCACGTGGAATTTGGAATACCTACGTAACCAGAAAACATTATGAATGTACTGGTTCCACAACATATCCATAAAAACACCCGAAAAATTGTTAATACATTTAATACAGTGTTTCTCATGTTTGATATAGCATGACTTGAAACATTCCTAAGATAAAGATCGACCAACAGCTTTATTTCTTACTCGTTTCTCTCACCCCCCATATCCATTACACTCCTTTTCCCATCTGACCACTGACTGATAGAACACAGCAACCACATGACCAGAAAGAAGCCTAGGTAAATTACTTCTATTACAACATTACAGACAACATCAATACAAAGATATTTTTCTATGTGTTCAATCTAGATTTTTTTAGTGCTGTCAATTTTGTGTTTACTCTTAAGAAATGTGAAAGTACCTGTAAACAACATTCACAGCACAAAACTTTCCAAAATAATTTCAACTTGTAAAATATTTAAAAGTAACTTACCTACAGTTGTTAAATATAACTGAATCTCTTGTATTCTCTAGTACTTACTAGTACTATTGAGTTGTTGTGATAATGTGAGAGATTAAGAACCATTAGAACATCTTTCACTGGCTGTGAAAAGGGCTCAAATTTTTACCCTGTGATGTGGCTCTGTTGAGAAGGCCATTAAAACATTAGTTTTTTTTATGATCTAACAAATTCAAATCTTTAGTTTTCTGTTGTTGATATAGTGCAAATTGGATACATCCTTTCACTCGCCAAGTCAGAGTCCTAGCCATGGAAACCATCACTACCCTGATGGAAGTGCAAGTTTCTCATCAAGTCCCAACTCGGCTCAAGGAAGGGGAGGCATGCTCTCCAGACCCATTCCTTTTGGTGCTTCCCCTTCGCCTACCTTTGTCCATCACAGTCAACAAGGTGTTGATTGTCCAACCAATTCAACATATAATGGATGTGGTCCTTTCACCTATCCATCTTCCGAACAGACTTCCCCGATTGCTCATCATTCCAGTTTCGAGATCCGATCACCAGGTAAACTATACTTCACTTCTTTGTGGTATTTTAAGAGTTTTTTTTTTTCTAAGTTTATTTTGTGGGATTACCTCACAGCTTTGAGTGGTAAACATAATAAGTTCAGGGTCAGGATTTTCTTTTTAATTCATTTGACATCAACATCTCTTTTTTTTTTTGCAGCAAAACAAATTTGAAGTGAATCATTGAATAGTCTATTTTTATATTATATGCTTGAGTGACAAGATAAACGTTTTTGATCTTTTTATACATGAAGGCCAGCTTAGCTGAATTATATCTTTAGAATATTGTGATTCTCATGTCAGTGACTTTAAGATCTGTTAATTTCAAGGTCACATTCACTATATATGTGTGTATTGCTACAGTCTGATGTCTAAGCTTTAACAGAGAGTTGTGATGTGCACTCGGTTGTCAATACTGTTGACAAATATTTGTAGTGTGTTTCATGTATTGGTAGTGTACTTCTTATTGTCTGTAAGCTGATTCTGCTAAGAATGTCACAGGATTATTGTGTTTAGGTGGTAAGGAATCTGATAATTGATTTTTAATTGCACTAAGATGTGTTTTATTTAGAAAAAAAAAAAGGCAATCCATTATTTTTGAAGTTTACTAGAAATCTAAAAAGTAGGTTTAAGTACTTAGGATATCCCACAAATATGTTTATCTAAATATTAATAATAGTATAAGTGAAACATATTATTTTGCTGGGGTTACTATTTCGTATATTTACCCTTGATGAAACTACTCAAGACATTTTCTTGAATAATTAAAATGTATATTTAATCTGCCAATTAAAGTACCCAAATTTGGAGTTAAATTGACTGAGTAATTAAATACCACATATATGCTGTTTTAATTGCAGTACAATTAGTAATAGTCTTGTTTAGTATTTAAGGTTGCTTAGTGTTATATTTAAACAGATAACTAATAAAATTGGTATTTGTATCAGTTTCAAGGGCTTCTGTAGCATCCAGTGCTTCAGATGAATCAAACACTAGTGACTTTGCTGGGCCGTTTCACCGATTATCAGTAGAAAATGTTAGTGATGAGAGTCGAGTGCCTTTAATGACAGATATATCTCGATGTCCTCTGGGTTCTCCAGGGGCAACTGGGAGCGTATCACGCCAACAGCTTCTCAGTGGACCTTGTCCTATCTGTGGAGATCGTATCTCTGGGTTTCACTATGGAATTTTCTCCTGTGAGAGTTGTAAAGGCTTCTTCAAACGGACGGTACAGAACAAGAAAAACTATGTGTGTCTACGTGGAGCCAACTGCCATGTAGCTATCAACACCAGAAAAAAGTGCCCAGCTTGTCGATTTAATAAGTGTTTGAAAATGGGGATGAAGTTGGAAGGTAACTACATATTATGTCAAAATTTATTTTTGTCAACAAAAAAATTACTTATTGCCAGTAGCAGATCTAGGGTTTTGAAAGTGGGGTGCGATATGGGCACCATATAATTTCAGCATACATCATTTATATCAATGCAGCCAGATGATACATCAAACTTAAATATAATATTATAAATTATTGGCCTGTAGCTAGGACAGGCAGGAAATAAAATCTTTTATTGAAATTATTTATTGTTAAAAGGGGCACATTATAGAGTGCAAAATTATGAAAAATAGATCTACTCACCCCTAAATCCACTAGTGCTTATTGTCTTTAAGAAAAATAAACTCTAAGAAATAAAATGTGTACGTGTGTATAAATTCAATAAACAAACAACAGTCGGTCTAACTCGTTGATTAGATCTATTTTATTTTTTTGCAACTCTATGCATTCAAATGTACCTTATCACAACTGGGAAGATGTAGCTAGAGATTCCAATATCTGGTGGTAACTAAAAATTTCCATTTACCAACAGAAACAATGTAACATCATTTTTTTTTCATATTTACATATACATAGGGGCCTTGGGTTGTAAAAAAAAAGAAAAAAAGACAGGTGTAGTGGAAATTTTTGTTTTTTCTAATTATTCATTCAGTATGAGAGGACTTCTTATATGACACTGACCACATGTTATTTGGCAGGAACTGATGAAAATGTCCCCAACAAACACGAGTTATAAAACTACTATTTACGTAATGTTTGCTGCTTGCCATAAAAAAACTGTTACAGACAGACAAAATGTTTGTCACTTTGGCATAAGCCTTTTTTTGATGTTCATATATCTAACATGAAGGTCACATGATGACCTTGACTTCTTGGAAAGGCTTTAACATGCACTTTTCAAGGTCAGACAGGCAGTGTGTGTGTGTGTGTAAGGGGGTGAGATTTATTGCACGTTTCATAGCTTTTCTGTCTTTTCAGCTGTATCAAATCTTTGAAGAAGTAAATTATCATTTCTAGGAAGTTCTATACAACCACTTATTAATTGAAGAAGTAAATTATCATTTCTAGGAAGTTCTATACAACCACTTATTAATTGAAGAAGTAAATTATCATTTCTAGAAAGTTGTATACAACCACTTACTAATTGAAGAAGTAAATTATCATTTCTAGAAAGTTGTATACAACCACTTATTAATTATTACTATTAATTACGATTTTTAACTTCCTCTAATAAAAACATTTTATGAAGCTGTGTTCTTTAACATGTCTTCCAGATATATATTAAACATTTCCTATTTTATCTCAATTAATATTGCTTGTTTTCCACTCATTGTGAAATCCCAAAACCTTTAATTTGATTTAATTTAAGTATTTAATCATTCTGCAGTTATCTACGATATCCATTCTTTGACCTAGAAACTACAGGGTTAGTTACAGCACTTTCAGAGAACTCTTGATTTGCAAAGTTTGGATTAAAACCACCTGATACTTTTAATGCTACAGTGAATACTTGTGTAAGAAACACTTTTTGCTACAGTGAAATCCTTAAGCAAGGTATTACTAATTTAAAAAAAAACAAAGGAACATTAGGTATTTTTTCAACATTTTATAATGATCCAGAAATTGTAGTGAAGGGAAGTTATGAAAAATAACTCCCATACTTACTTATCTCTATTTTACAGCTATCCGAGAAGATCGCACTAGAGGGGGACGAAGCACCTATCAATGTACTTATTCCATTCCCAGTCAGTCCATTAATGATCCTTGGAATCGAACAGGAGCAGAAAATGGGATGAGGCCTTCCTATGCCAGCCCATTATGTGATGGGTCAGAACGACACTATCAAAACCGTGAAAGAGGCAAGATTTATCATCTTGATTGTTTGTTAAGAATTATCACTTTGTGATTTTTACCTCAACTATTTTTAACTTTTACCTAAGTATGAATTATTATCTTTATGGTTATTTCTATATCACTTAGCTTGTTCTAAGTCTGGTTTTGTTAATCAGTAGAGTGTTTACCCTAATTGTCTGTAATTATTATTGAATCTGATGTATATTTATTCAAAAATGTTTACTCTAGTTTTCTGTAGTTCATATTAATCTGAATTATAATCAATACATTTTTACCCTTCTTTTTTGTTTTCTGTAGTTTGTATTGAATTTGATTTGTAATAATTACAATGTTTACCCTCATTTTATATAGCTTGTATTGAATCTGTTTTTTTTTTTTAAAGTTTACCTGAACACTGGTTTGTACTAATGAAACTTCTTATTCTGCTCAGATTATTCATTTTATTTCGGTTCTCTTTGTTTGTAATAAATCTGATTCATTTTGTAGTGTTATCATTTTTTTTTTTCAACTTTATTTTACTTTCTGTGTCTGTTACTGTCGCTCGTTCTACATACTTTATATTTTAACGTCATTCCACACAGCTCAGATGTTAATCTTTTTATCTTGATAAAAATCAGTTACATTACTACGTAGGGTGTTTCTAACTGTCACATTTTATACTTAGCACATATTTTTGTGGTAAGTTTGAAGGATTTAACTGTTAAAAACTGAGTTTCGATACTGACGGTGGACACAGCAGAGATAGCTCATTGTGTAACTTTAGGCTTAACAACAAACAAACAATACATAGTTTTGCTCATCTATATTTTAGGTTCACAATAAATAAATCTGTTATGACCCACTTTTTTCATCATTTTTAAAACCTGTCTTCTTTTAAATGATCAGGTTTGTTATTTCAGACATTTTTACCAGCGTTATACTTTAATAACTTATGAATTTTTATCAGTCCTATCATTTTCTTCATTTCTGATACTAATTGATATTTGTAGCATTAGTTAAAAATACATTTCTTCATGGTTTCACCTAAACTCTTTCTATAATATTATACTTTTTTTTGTAAAATAAGCTGCAAGTTTTTTTTTAATTTTCTCGGAAGAGTGGGATTAATATTTTTTTTTTAAAAATCAGATGCTAATTAGAATAGAGAATTTATTCATGTTTTGTGTGACTTTGGTTTTAGACAGTCACAGTACCTCACCAGCAAGCCAGTTTCCTCCTTGCGTACCACAGCTCATTCGTGACGTTATGTCTGTGGAACATCTATGGCATTATTCAGAAAAAGAAATGACAAAGATTTCAGAGCAGTTGGATGAAAAACCTGTAGATGGCGATACTGATTTTCTGGCAACACTTTGTAAAATTGCAGATAACAGACTTTGTAAGATTGTTAAGTGGTGCAAGAGTTTGCCTCTTTTTAAGGAAATGCAAGTAAGTAATTAAAATTAACAGTAATTTATTAATTGTATCTATACTGTTTTATTGTTACATTTGTAACTATTAAAACTAGCAGTGTCTTATAATTTGAATTTATATTTATTATTGTTACTTTTGATGAAAATTAGCAATGACTTTTGATGTTCAATATTATTATTTTTATTGTCATTAAAATGAACAGGAAGCTATTGTTTGTATTGTTGTGTGTTATTGTTAGATTGGCCTCTTAATCTGACTTTCTTTGGTGTGAAACTCCTATAGTTTTATTATACTTTAGTTTTCAGTTTCTCTTTAAATATTTGTAAAATGAACAGGAAGTTATTGTTTGTATTGTTGTGTGTTATTGTTAGATTGACCTCTTAATCTGACTTTCTTTGGTGTGAAACTCCTATAGTTTTATTATACTTTAGTTTCTCTTTAAATATTTGTAATTCCTACATTTATTTTAACCAGAAGACTCTTGAAGGGCTGGATACAGAGCCCTTTGTTTTTTGTGATTGATTTTATGTCACTGGTGTAATCATATCTAGTGTGAAATAACTATATTAGTTTTAACTTTTTGTCTTAGGAGTTATTGTAGTTTACTTTAATGCTTATCTTAATATCTTATTAGAAATTCGATAATTGTAGGTTGAGTTAAAATTCATTCTGGTTAAGTTCATAACGTTAACTGATTACAGTTACTGTTTTAATTTCAGAGGGATGATCAAATTGCTCTTCTTATAAATTCCTGGTGTGAGATGCTTCTTCTGAGCTGCTGTTATCGGTCCATGTCTACCCCTAATGAAATCCTCATCTCTCGAGGCAGGCCTGTCACTTTACAGCAGGCCCAAGAAACTGGTCTTAGCCCCGTGATTGAACGAATGATGAATTTGACAGAACATTTGCGTAGGCTTCAAGTAGATCAGCATGAGTTTGTGTGTCTTAAAGTCATCATCTTATTGACCTCGGGTATGCAATTTATTTTTTCAAAGTTCACAAGAAAGTTATTTTTTGCTAAAGTATAAGATAAAATTTTTTTATCTACTGCTGAATATATTCTGTACGTAGTTGCCATAACATTATATGAATGTGTGTATCTTAAACCATGTGACAACTAGGTTTTCAAAGTTTAATATGAAAATATCAAAGGTTATGACTGCTTTGAAGTTATCTATTATTAAACATCTTATTTGTTTATATAAAATTTGCAAACATTCTTATCATTTGACATGTGGCATTAATTATTCAATCATTAAAAAGAGTTAAGGTTAATCATTTTTATGGGCACTTACAATGAAGAGGAACTTGGATGAATTACACCTTTGATGGTATTTTATTACAAATACTGCTAGATTTAATGTTTTTTAAGAAAATCAAAATGTGCTTCACAAATATCTGTGGTTTGATTGAATGATCAATTTCATAAAAGTATTGAAATAAAAAGTGTATTACAGTTTCATAAAACAGATGAATATTTGGTAATTTTTTTATTTAGTTTAGCTGTTTAAAGCATGTGTATTGTATGGTTATTGAGTTTATCTGTTTCAAGCTTGTGTAAATGTGCATTGTATGGTCATTTCCTTTATTCAGTTTAGCTGTTTCAAATTTGTGTAAATGTGTATGTATGGTCATTTTTTTTATTTAGCTTAGCTGTTTCAGTGGCTTTATTGAGTATACATTCTGATGATTCATGAAAAATGTTATTCCTAATGCAGGGAAGTGCAATTTTTATTTAAGATATTATCATTCCTTTATGCATGTAATAACATTAGATTTTATAATTTGTTTATTTGTTGAATAAAACATATACATTTCTTCTTTGTGTACAGATGTTAGTGGCTTGAAAGAACCAGATAAGGTCCGAACCTGCCAGAAACAAATGCTTGAAGCACTCCAAGCTTACACTCGCTCTCACTACCCCCATCTCCCCAGCAAATTTGGAGAACTCTTGCTACGAATTCCTGAACTGGAGAGAGCCTGTCAGGTTGGCAAGGAACCGCTGGTTGGTAAACAACGTGGTGGTGACGTGCCTAGTTTCCACCTGCTCTTAGAATTACTTCGGGGTGACCACTAACTGTGTGACAAAATAGTCACAGGTGTTATCACCTTGTTGCTGGTGCTGTTATATAGTTTTAAAAGGAAAAGTTTGAGATAAGGCACTAATTAAAAATAATATCCTTGAAGTTTTAACTATTATCGATCTGCCAGAACTTATATTTCCAGTTGTTTTTTTTGTTTGTTTTTCTTTCTTAAATTTCTTCTTTCTTTATTTCTTGTTCTTTCAAAAACGTACTTCACTTGTTTTTTACAGCAGAGCAGGCACAAGAGAGAGTTTTATGTACATCCATATCATCTGTTTGCAAGAGATTAAAAAATTGTGCATCTTTCAGTTGCACTTTAGTATCTATGACCTTAACATACCCCTAATATAAAATGACTTTCTTGAACGGTATTAAATGAGTAAGTTAAAATTTATTTTCAAGATTTGCTACTAAACTCATTCTGAGATCTTGGAGAAATGACACACCTTGCCAACGTTTTCTAGATTTTGAACAACAGTACACGATTTCAACAAGGTCTCAACTCTCCCAACTTCTAGGACTAGAATCCTTGCCTAGCCAGTTTTGGCTGTAGAAAGTGCCTAAATCTATGATATAAGGAGAAGCAGGATCAAACCAAGGTTCCAAAAGGCTGTTCTTAGGCATTGGTGGAATATGGAGGAGGAGCATGACACTTACATTAAACTGTACATTGTGCTGTGTACATCTTTTACTTGAGGCTTGCGTGATGCATTCCAAAAGTATCTTGTCACTTAAGACTTCACACCCTAGCCACCAAAAAAATCCTAGAAATCTGTCTCACTGAAACTGAGGTATGATCCTTCTTCTGTTGATTTCTTTCAAGTTTCTTGTGATTGTCAAGAATTTCTATCTTGTAGAACTCTGGTTGAAGAATAGAGACCTTGTATGAGACCCTGTGATGTGTTCTTTTCTAACAGCCGGTTGGTGTTAGCATTATATCTGACAACATAGATGATTAGAAAACAGTGCGTAACCATTTCCTTCACTTCTCACTGTAAAAATGTTTATTAGTGGATTCCTTTACGTGGTTTGACCTGTTCAAACAACTTAAAAAGGTTTGTTATATTTTAACGTGAGCAGTGTCTCTGACATCACTTAATGTGATATCCAGCTGATACTCTCATGTCATCTGGTTATAGAAGTGCTGATTTTTAGCTCATGTTGCTTGGTTTTAGGATTTTCTTCTCAAGTATTTGCATTATCTACTTCTTATTTTTTTCAGTAATGTCACTGTCTGGTATCCTTAAATGATACTATTATGATGACATAATATTTTACGTTTAGTTTGACCACCTAACAGAGCAAGTATCACGTGTGGATATTTACCCTGTGCCAGAGGTATGTCCAGTGGGACTTCATTCCTTCTCTCGATTCACTCTCTTGTGTTGCATGGTTCCCTTTTTTCTTCTCTCTCTCCTTATACTTGTATCCTTTGTTCTGGCAGATCAATCATCAAGGTGAAGTTGTCCAAGTATCAAATTTAGGATATTTTCAATGTGACAAACTTCTCCATTTAAAAGCCCCCCACCACACTATAATGATATATGTATAATTTATGATGACCAAACTGTTCTAAATATCTGTCCAATGATATTTTTCAGAAACAGTTTCAGTTTCTAAACCTACATTAACATAACAAAATATAAGTTCCAAAATTAAAGATCATGTTTACATATATATATAGATTCAATTAGTAATCCAAATAGTAAATAAAAATGTTATGAGATGTGCCAAGGGCAGTGCTGTTTGCTGCAGCTGTGTGGTGCCAACATTAGTTTTTTTTTTGAAGATGGGTTACAAAAACTACTTATTAAAAAAACGTGCCATGCTGGAAAATGGGTCACAGTAGCATCAGCACAAGTGAAACCAAAAGTTATTAGCCAAGAATCAAAACTTAATGTTCAAGAAAACAGAAGTTAGTCTTTGTCATTGAAGAGCCAGGATTATTTAAGTTCTATTACATGAAAAGACAATTGGGTTTAAAGTAGTCTATGCAACACACATTTAATACTGGGACTGTGTATATCGAGAGGCAGCTGGATGCACTGTCCGATTAGTAGTAAAATATTTCAAGTGGGGCATTTAAGCTTTCCATTTCCACACGTACTACAATGCCCCCCTTCCATGCGTGTTGCAAAAAATAAGAACACTATATATACTAACACCATTCATATATTTTATCAAAAACTTTTTTTTTTTACTCAAAACTAAAGTTGTTTAATAAAAATAATTTTCCTGTATTTGGATTTATAGCTATTTCTGTGATAATTATAGAACAAAATGTGCTTTAAAATCTTTTCAACTGGCAACTACTTAATTATTGGTTTTTATGAAAGGTTTCCAGACCAATGGAAATGCTATTTGAACCTTGAACAATAATTATTACAGTATTATTAGCTAAAACCTAAATATTCAATGGTGGTGTTCTCCCTCTAACTTGTAAATTATTTAAGTAACATTATTATTATAAATAAAAAGAAAAGAAAAAATTCAAAATCAGGAGTCATTTTTTTCTTTAATGCTTATTTAATACTACTTATTCTTAATTTGGAAGTTCCGGGTAAACGCTGTGATCAAAGTTCTTACGATGTTCACTGATAATTCACATTTCATAAAAATAATTACTGCCATTGTAATATTTTCATCGGATAAACCTGTTGTCTGGTAACGAAAAATACAACCTGTGGTCTTCGTTCACTAAATACATAATCAATGTATTTCTTGGAAGAAGCGGAGTAGAGGGAGATATCTACCTTTGTTACTTTTATTTTATTTTGATTGTCTATGATATGAACTTGGCTACCAAAGAATGTCAGTACACTTTTTTAACATTCAAGCTTTGTACGAAAATAGGTTAGTATTTAGTGAGAAATTCATTTGTTTCATAAATTCCATGCCATGTGATTGACTTATAATATCTAATTTATGCCATATTGGAAGAAGTTTTTTCTTACTATTACTTGTACGAGTAAATGATGGTGTGTATTCCTTACTTTGTTTTCTCTCTGTAGGGAGAAGAACTGGTTATTTAAAAACAAAGTACTTGTTTTGCATTCCTTTTTTCCCCCTTTTTTTTTAGTGTTATGGTGTTTTGTTTTCTGGTATTCTGGAAAAGGGTTGTTTTATGTTACTTTTTTTTTTTACATTTTAAAAATGCAGATTACAGTATTTTAGTTAACTTCAGTAAAATAAAGTTACTTTGGACGTAATTGAATATTTGAAATATATAAGTGTGAGGTGATGGAAGTTTAAAGTGATAAGTCTTACAATTTGTAGATAATATTTTAAGTGATTTAAAATATACAGAATGTCACTCTAGGCATTATTTTTTTACAGGGATTCTGTACCAGTGCTTAGCTTTTTTAATGAAAATAAAATTTTTGTAAGAGCATTTTTTGTTTGGTTGTTTTTATTGGTGGTGAATTTTTCTTAACAGTTTAAGGCATGGGTTGGCTCTGTGGTAAAATTCTGGATTTAAAATTCATGTGATATCAAAAAACATTTCCTGCAGCTTATGCTGGGGGTGTTTTATAGAGTGAAAGTCAGTCCCTTAGCATGGGTGGTAGGGCGCTGCTGATTGGCTGCCTTCCCTCTGATCAGTTGTTCAAAATTAGTCACAGCAACATATATCCTAAGTAGCTTCAACAATACCTGAATAAAATCATAAATAATATTCAACGTTAAACTGGT